CTCCAAGTCTAACGGGGGAGACAATATTCAAACAACTCTATACAAACAAGATACAGACAGCATAAATTGGCAGTCATCTCAAATCGATGGAATTAGCAATAAAGGGAATCAGGAAAGGTTTCTCATAGAACATGATATTTTAGCTGAGACTTAAAGGAAGTCAGCCAAGCAAGGAGGTAGAGATAAGGAGGGAGAGCATTCCATTCATGAGGGATAATCAGCATCTCATATAGTGCCTGGAACAAAGTATGGACAGGAACGGGGATTGATTCTGTAATTCCATTGGTGTAGGTTGACTCTCAAATGAGAAAACTCCTTCTCCTTATGGAGGTTGGCATTCTGAGCCAGCAGAGCACTGAGTGGTTAAATGACTTGCCCAGGATCACATGACAAGGATGGGTCTGAACCAAAATCCTCTTGGTTTCCAAGTTCTTCTCCTAAGCTGCCTGGAATACAGTAGGTATTTAATAAATGCTTTGTGACTGACTGAGTAGATGGACCACAAGAAAACAGAGTAGTAGAGGGAAAAGTTTTGATGTAGGTGAAGGCAACATTGAGAGGACATAGCACTATCCACATAGAATAGGCTTGTCAGTAACTGGATGGCGTGCTCTGGATACAGTGGGTTCCCTGTCACTGGAGGTCACCAAATAACTTGTCCTGGATGATGAAGAGCGGATCTGGGGACTGGAATAGGGGGAACTAGATGGTCGATGAGGCTCCTTTCAACTCTGCAGTTCTGTGAGCTTAGGAGATATCACAAGGGTAAGCAAGAGGACACCGAGCACGTACGTGTCTGTGTATGTATGTATGCATGTATGTATGTATGTACAGCACGGAGAACGAGAAAGTGCCCAAAAGAAGTGATGTGCATGACCTGCCCTGCTTCATGGTTCTGCTTCCCAAAAGCCTTGTAAATAATTGCACCTAAGGCATTTCTGAGTAGTGGAAGGACTTAGAAAGGGTTAAATCTTATAGGTCAGTGGGCTCCAAATAAGAAGCTTTGGCCTTCCATGAGGCTGTGGTCAATTAGAGTACTCCCAAGAGGAATGTGCTGAACCAATCACAGGCCTATCTCTAATAGAACCACATCTACCCTTATCCTCTCCCCACCCCCACCCACACTCTCCAACTTCATCTGCTCGCTGGGCTATGCCCGCTTCCAATCTTCTCCCGTCTAAGTCCCATTTGGATTCTTCAGGTCACTTATAACCTAATCTATACCATTGTACCCACAACAGTATGACTCCTCACTCTCTCCTGCCCCATATGTCCGATCAGTTGCTAAAGCTTGTCATTTATCCTTCCACATCTCTCACATCTGTCCTCTTCTCTCTACTTACACATCCAGAATCCTAGTTTAAGCTCAAATTACTTCTCACCTGGACAACTGCAATATCCTTCTAATTTATTTTCCTGTCTTAAGGTTCTCCTCACTCAAAATTCATCCTCCACACAACTGCCAGAGTGATTTTCCTGAAGTATGCCTGACCATGTCACTCATCTACTTAATAAACTTAGCGACTCCCTATTTTAAATTTCTATTTAGTGAAAGTTTTATAATGTACATCATTATTACTATGGTAGTACATGCATATAATTTAAAAGTAAACATATATTGATGTGGTGTGCTCAATTTTTTTTTTTACTTGATACAGATGCACAATCAAAAAAGTCTGGCCACTACTATCCGAGATCAATCAATCATTCAACCAACAGCATTTACTAAACATTTACTTAGATAATTAATGGCACAGTGGCTAGAGAGTTGGCTTTGGAGCCAATAAGACAGTGGTTCAAGTCTCACCCTTGACACATACTGGCTGTGTGGCCCTGTACAATTCACTTGACTTTTCAATGTTCTGGGCACCTCATCAAGACTAAGTTGCAGAGAAGGTGCCACCTTGCATGAGTAGAGGGAATTTTCTCACCTAAGAGTTCCTGGTATCAATGAAATTATTTAGTCACTACTATTACCAATTAATGAATTAGTTCTATCAGGCCAGATCATCAAGCTCATTGTAAGCTTTTCTCTAAACAAGTGATTACACTGTAAATCCTCCAGAGTGAAGAAAAAAGTAGAACAAGTAGTCTAAAGCTTGCCTGAGTTGTACTGGCTATATGTTTTCAGCAATACCAATTCATTACTACTGACCTTGTAGATGGCTATCAGAGATCATCTTTTATGACAAGGGACACTACTCAGGTAAGAGTTATTGAGTAAGAGAATTATTTTTGTATGATCAGAGATGGGACCCAATAAAATGAAAGAGTCTGGAATTCTCCTCAAAAGAATTACAAGAGCATAGTTTCTGCTTCTCTCAGAACAGGAATCCCCAAGTTCATCCTTGCTTTCACAATTGTCTTTTTCTAGCTTTGCAGACTGAGTCATATGCAGTATCGGGAGAGGCCAACATGAGAGATGACCATTTGGAGGACAGATAATAGTTAGCTGGCCAACCTGTCAGTTCATAAAAACCTGAGGGCTGGACCTGTCCCCACAGAGTAAAATCAAGTGATCAGTTTCTAAGGGTATCCTAATTCATTAATATCTGTCATTTCCTCTTATTTATAATGCTTTAATATATCAAGGAAACTGATCTCATCAATATGCATACGCTCTCAGTGCAGACTGCAACCTGTCTGCACCTCATCTGGTACCATTCTCATCCACGAACTTTCATAAATATTCCACCAAAGCTCTATCAAATGTACTGTAAGCCCTAGTTTGGGTCTTTTAGCATTCTGTGGATACTAGTACAGCATTAAAGCTACTGACTTGCCATCTCTCATTCAGAGGCTAGAATAATCCGTAATTTGTAGCTATATAACTTCACCAGGAGGATGGTGGCATTATAAAGATAAAGTGCCAAGGGGCAGAAATTTATGTATAATTTCTTAAAGTCTTAGTAATCCTTGTATCAACTGAGGAAGAAAACAAGTATAAGTCTATGCACACTAAAGGTGCTCCCCACTGTCATAGAAGCTGTTGGGATCCCAATGGATGATGAGGTGCTCCAGATTCTCTTTTGGGGAGAATAGTGGAAGGCCTCTTTTAATGACATGCATGACCAGTATAAGTGAAGTGGCTTCACGATCTACACAGGAAAAACCAAAAAGCCTACGGTCCAAACTATGAACTATAATGAAGAACAATCATTGGTATACATACCTTAGACAGACACTATAGACAGAGAATGAGTGGGGTTCAGAAGTGAATATGAGGAAGAAAATAAGTTGGGCTGGATCTGGAAAATAACCCCCTGTAGTTCTGCATTTAAAAATATTAAAATAATTTTTGTTTCAAATCATTAATTTCCAAATAATTCTCTCCCCCTTCTCTCATCATTCACCAGAGAGTTATTCTTTTTAACAAAGAATTATAAAAATAAGAAAAAAACCCTTCAGCAAAACTAACCAACACATCAGTGGAGTCTGAGAATATATGCAATGTTCCACACTTAAAGTCTCTCACCCCTGCAAAGACAGTAAGAGAGGTGAATTCTCTCCTCGTTTCTCTGAGGCCAAACTTGATCATTCAGTTTCATTTTTTATTGTTGTTTTTTTCATTCCCATTAGCACTGTGGATACTGTTTTACTGGTTCTGACCCTGCTTCTAACCCTAATTCTAACCCTCTGCATCAGTTTGTAGAAGTCTTCATATTCATCACTTCTTAAATAAAAAGAATAAATTAATTTTTCATTAATATCTAAACAAAATGGCTAGGCATTATCTGTACCAGAGAACCACTAGAGGCTTTTCCAGTAAGATTAGGGATAAAGTTCGGGTGCTCATTTATTCATTGTTACCACTATTATATGACATAGTACTAGGAATACTTGTGTAATATTCTGCCCATTTGAAACTTAGCCAAACTGAAGGTCTGAAGCAGGAAAAGATAGACATTAAAATGTAAAACATTTTTAAAACATGGACATCGTGTTAATTTGTGGTAATTGATTATACTTATTTCTTACTGGGGGGGGTGATGACTTAGTGAGTAATGGTATAGAAATTTTCTAAAAAAGAAAGATTAGTACCACTTCCAACTTCATCCCTTCTCTGCATCCCTTTCCTTTTATTCCCCTCTGGTTGACCTCTATTCCCAGTTTCTCCCATCCTGCCCTTGGGAGACACTGAACAGATAGGAGATGAAACATTTGGGCCAGGCAGGAAGGGGTAGAGGTTTTTAGTGGTAATGAGTTTTCATTTTACTAACTGAAATTGTATGTTTTATATTTAATCTTCCATCACCCCCCTCATGATCTTTAGCATGTCAAGCAAGGCCAGGGTGGGTCAAGGGTGCCAAGAAGCCTTAGGCTTCACCTTCCCAACCCCAAAGAATCTATAAAGAACTGAAAGGTTGGACACTCCCACTAGCCAATCTCTGGCGAGTATGGAATGAACCATACATGGGAGAGAGACTCTGACCTCACAGGCTGCCTGTGACCCGTGCTGAAAATGTCTTTGTGAGGCCACTCTGTTCTAGGATATAAGTCTAAGGCAAAGCTATCACTTCTTTATCCCCCACAGACGGGGAAACATCAAGGAGCTGAGAGATGGAGAACATCTCAGGTCCAGGTGAAACTAGGAAAGAGAACCTCAACAAAGTCCATCATTTCTCCAGCTCTGGCAGAGTAGGAGAAAAGCCCCTGAAAGGAGGCAGGTAGGAGTCTAAGTCCATTAAGAGTTACCAGGGCTTAAGTCTTCCGTATCGGGCAGTCCAGGAAGAAAGACTTGGGTATTTAAGCACTTAAAGATCCAAAGAGAAGAAAAGGACTGAGAGCGTGAGAGCAAGAAAATTGGTACCTGTCAAGGTCAAGGCCAAGACTTGGAACCAAAAGTGAAGGTGGTGTGAAAAACACCTGACATCAAGAGCTGAGGAACGGACCTTGGGACCTAAGTGAACACTTTATAATCTAAAGTCTTAAAGACGTGAAGATTCTATGGTAAGGGGTAGAGGGACTGAGTTTCATAGCTTGCCCCTACTTCTCTAATCATGTGCCCCTGTACATCCATATATTTAGCCATCATCCTTGCTCTCAGCCTGGCACCCATGGCAGCTGCCAAGAAATGCTACTATTGTGATGTGCAAGTGGCACCTCACTGCGTGGGTATCCCTATGAATTGTGGGGAAGAAGAAGATTGCTACATTGGGCATGGCACAGCTCAGGGTTTACCAGGAATTATAAAAAAGGGTTGTATACAGACTATCTCCTGTGACTGGCCGCAATCTATTACCCACCTGGATGTAACCTATAATCTGACTACCTACTGCTATCCAGGGGACCTGTGTAACGTGGTCCAACCCTGCCGGGTCACAAAGCCACTAGATGCTACTACTGCTGTCGCTGTGGCTGCTGGATTTCTACTGGCACTTCTTCTCTGCTGGCTGCTGTAAGCTGAAAGAAGGAAATGAATACCTTCCATTCTCCATCTCTTATTTCCCATCCCATCCTAGTAATCTCATGTAGATTGGAATGAAGTCAGCAGAGACAGAATCTGTGTTTTGTTTTGCGGTGTATAGTTAAAGGGGGATGAAGGAGGCCAGGGAGGGAGGGAGGCTCAAACTTATCGCAGCCACAAATGACTATCTTTGAAGCCACAAGACTTGGCTCACTTTTTCTATCTCATAATTTTTCCTCTATGGAAGCTATGAGCCCTCACAACCCTGGGTCTTGAGGTTCGGAGGAAGAGAGCTAGGCTATGCAAACCTGACTTCCCAAAATCCACTCCTACTCCCAGCTCCATTCTCCTGGGAAGGCTCCTAAAGGGGTGAGGGTCAAGCATACCTTGCTCATTTCTAATCATGGTGGGCTCTATGGGGCTTTGCACGGGGCCAGCTGATGAGAAAGAAGGGGATACGAGCTGAAGAAAATTAAGGCTTCACTGACAATTACTAAGCTGGTAACAGGAAGAAAAGAAGATGGCAATAGCTCAGGGTGACATAGGGAGCTGGCAGAGGTGGTGGCCATCTCACAAAGGTCGAACAGTATATTAGAGTCAATAAAGACATCTTTAACAAGTACCTAGAGCTGGGGTTGGGGAAAATGAAACAGACAGCCTGAGTACCTGGGTCCTGGAGAGTGGGGGGAGGTCTACCGAGTTTTGTAGGGGTAGGACAATTTTATCACAAGGCAAAGGAATACTATGTAGAGCTCAACTCAATCCAGGATCAGATTAGCTTAACATATTCTACCCCAGAACTAAGAATCATGAAAAAAATGACCTACTTTACACCTACAGACTACCTTCACTGACCACCACCCATGGGGATCATCTTTACATGTATTTTTTTTTACTTTACTTTTTTTTTTAATATCAATTTATTGTGAATTATCAACGATCACTTCCATAAGCTTCTGAGCTTCAAATTTTTCTCCCCCTCCCTCCCTACCTCCCTCCCCAAGACAGCACGCAATCTGACATAGGCTATACACATACATTCCTATTAAACATATTTTCACATTAGTGATGTTGCAGGTAAGAATTAGAACCAATAGGAGGAACCACCAGAAAGAGGAAACAAAACACAACAGAAGAAAATAAGTAGCAAATGGTATGTTTCGATCTGCATTCAAACTCCATAGTTCCTTCTTTGGATGGAAAGCATTTTCCATCACGAGGCCTTTGGAGATGTCTTAGATCCTTGTATTGCTGGGAAGGGTTAAGTCTATCAATATTAGTCATCACACAATGTGGCTGTTATTGTGTACAACGTTCTCTTGGTTCTGCTCACTTCACTCAGCATCAGACCATACGAGTCTTTCCAAGTGTTTCTGAAGTCTGCCTGTTCATCATTTCTTATAGCACAATAGTATTCCATTACATTCATATACCACAACTTGTTCAGCCTACATGTATTTTCATATTTTTGCTATTCTAATACCAGTCTGAGTGTCACATGTAACAATGCTTTTCAAAGTAGGTGGGGAGAGACAGAGAATGAATTTGATTCTTGGACACCTGGCTACCTAAGGGTGCTGGGTCCTGGACACAGAGATCCCCACATGGGCAAAGGTATGGAATCCTGGGGTCCCCCACCTTGTTAGTATCCTGAATTGCTCAACTCACCAACTTCTTGGTGGAAGGATCCCCATCACCTGGGGGTCTTTCAAGTACAGGTGGCCCAAGAAATATTCTTTTAGGTCTAGTTCTCAGGCCAGCCCATCCTTAGGGCCAGCTAGGGGGATGGGAGTAGATGGGGACTCTTCACAAAAAGCTAGCTAACAATTAGAGCTATCCAAAAGTGGCAAAGGGCAACCATGAAAGATAGTATATTTCACCAAATTGGAGATTTTCAAGCAAGAGATGGATGCTACTTGTTGGAGATATAGCGGAGCAGATGCTTGTTTAGATATGGGTTGGACTAGAAGGCCTTTGATATCCACTTACATTCCCTGAGATTCTATAATCTGACTGCAGGGGAGTGGATAGCAGTGGTGATTCAGAAAGCCTACTCCAGTCTTAACGACGCAGTCGAGCAATCACTCATGGGATCTATCTATTCAATCTGAGCCTCCAAATGCCATTTATTGTTGGTGATTTATTTTACTGGCATGATTCTTGGCTCTCTGGGTACTGCAAGGTATGAGAAGTGGATGCTTGGGAGGTTTTAAAACTTAATTAGGAAATGTTCTACACCTTTCCTGTTGGCCATCTGTTGATGCTGGATAGCATCTATTCTATTAGAAATGTTAATTAGTATTAAGAATGAATTTCATTGAGCTCTCTTGATCCTTAAATTTCTAAAAAGAACCACACTCTTATGCAGCCTTGGAAAGAAGGACATTTATCTTTTCCAGTAACTGAATTTAAAATCTTACAATTTTCTGAATGTAAATGTAATCACTACTGATGTTAAGTGCCTAGCACATAGCAAATGAGAAATAAATGTTTGTGGACTAGCTGGTTAAAACATATTTGTGCTTGTAAAAAGGATACCCAAAAGATATTTTATGGATCAAACCCATATTTGTGTCTGCCATGGAAGGAATTTGATAGGACTCCTTTTTTAAACCTATTTTTTCAAATAATTTATATAGTACAAGAAATTTATTATTTAAATGCTTGGTAGAATTTGTAAATTCATCTAGTACTACAGATTTTTTTCTTAGGGAGATCATTTATAGCTTCTTCAATTCTTTTTCTAAGATAGGGTTATTTAAGTATTCTATTTCTAAGATAATTCTGTTATCTAAGTATTCTATTTCCCCTTCTTTTAAACTGGGCAATTTATATTTTTAAATATTCATCCATCACATTTAGACTCTCAGTTTTATTGGCATATAATTGGGCAAAGTAGCTCCTAATAATTGCTTTAATTTCATCTTCATTGGTTGTGCATTTTAGCCTTTACATTTTTGATATGGATAATATAGTTTTCTTCTTTCTTTTATATCATATTAACCAATGGTTGTTCTATTTTATGCTTCTGTTTTCATATAACAAGCTCCTAGCTTTATTTATTAGTTCAGTGGTTTTTTATTTCAATTTTATTAAGCTGTTCTTTGATTTTTAGGATGTCTATTTTGGTATTTAATTGGGAATTTTTAATTTGTTCTTTTTCTAGTTTTTTTTTTTAATTGCATATCCAGTTCATTGATCTGTTCTTTCTCTTTTTTATTGATGTAATTATTTAGAGATATAAAATTTCCCCCTAAATATTGCAGTGGTTACATCCCAGAAATTTCAGTATGTTGTCTCATTGTTATCATTATCTCTAATGAAATTATCGATTGTATCTATCATGTTATGTGTTCGTTTGTCCACACATTCTTTACAATTACATTATTTTGGCTTCCAATTAATTCTAAATCTACGCTTCCACTGCTCTTTATTGAATATAATTTTTTGTTGCATCATGTTCCAAAAAGGGTTCATTTAATATTTATGCTTTTCTCCATTTGTTTGTGAGGCTTTTATGCTCTAATACATGGTCAATTTTTAAAAATGTGCCACATATGGCTAAGAAAAAGTTCTTCCCTCCTCCATAAATCTGACAGGTAAACTATTCCTTGCTCTCCCAGTTTGCTTATAGTATCAGCCTTTATATCTAAATTGTGTACCCATTTTGACTTTATTTTGGTATATGGTGTAAGATTTTGGTCTATGCCCAGTTTCTGCCATACTCTTTTCCAGTTTTCCCAGCAGTTTTTGTCAAATAATGAGTTCTTAGCCCAGAAGCTGGGGTCTTTGGGTTTCTCAAACAGAAGATTACTATAGTCACTGGCTACTGTGTCTTGTGTACCTAACCTATTCTACTGACACACCACTCTATTTCTTAGCTAGTACCAAGTAGTTTTGATGACTGCTGCTTTATTATAAATACAATTTAAGATCTAGAACGGAGAGTCCACCTTCCCTAGCATTTCTTTTCATTAGTTCCCTTGATATTCTGGATCTATTGTTCTATCAAATGAATGTTATTTTTTCTAGCTCTATAAAATATTTTTTTTTGGTAATTTGATTGGTATGGCACTGAATAAGTAAATGAATTTAGGTAGAATTGTCATTTTTATTATATTAGTTTGGCCTACCCATGAGCAACTGATATTTTCCCAATGATTTAAATTTGACTTTTTGTGTGAAAATTGTTTTGTGATTGTGTTTATATAGTTCCTGAGTTTGTTTTGGCAGGTAGACCCCCAAATATTTTATAATGTCTACAGTAATTTTAAATGGAATTTCTCCTTCTATCTCTTGCTGTTGGGCTTTTTTAGTAATATAGGGCAACACCGATGATTTATGTCGGTTTCTATTCTATCTTGCAACTTTGCTAAATGTGTTTATTGACCATATACTAGCGAATAAAAACCTCCCAATCCAATGCAGAAAGGCAGAAATATTAAATGCATCCTTTTCAGATGATGATGCAATAAAATTATATGTAATAAAGGGATATGGGAAGGCAGACTAAAAATAATTGGAAACTAAATAATCTAACCCTATAAAATGAATGAGTCAAACAAAAATCATAGAAACAATCAATAACTTCATCCAAGAGAATGACAATAATGAGACAATATACCAAAACTTATGGGATGCAACGAAAGCACTTCTTAAGGGAAGTTTTATATCTCTAAATGCTTACATGAATAAAATAGAGAAAAAAGAGATGTATGAATTGGGCATGCAACTAAAAAAGCTAGAAAAAGAACAAACTGAAAACCCCCAATTAAATACCAAATTAGAAAAACCAAGAGAGAGATTATTAAAATTGAAATTAAGAAAGATATTGAACTAGTAAATTAAATTAAGAGCTGGTTTTATCAAAAAACCAATAAAATAGATAAACCTTTGGTTCATTTAATTAAAAAAAGAAAGAAGAAAACCAAATTACCAGTATCAAAAATGAAAAGGGTGAATTCATCACCAATGAAAAGGAAATTAAAGCAATAA